GCCTGCTTGTGATAGCTGGTTTTCACACCAAACAGAATAAAAGCAAAATTATCTGCTAAATGCACCAAATAAGCACTGGTGCCTGTTGCAAAATGAGGATTGGGGCTGAGTAAAGATGTTCTTAGTGAATGAGGAGGGAAAAGCTGGGAAGGCAGACCCTGAAAACCAGGGCAGGGGTGTGGTACCCACCAGGAGCAGGGCAGGGAGCCATCCCCTGTTCTGGGATGCTGCTGCAGGCACGTTCTGTAGCACCTTGGCCTGGTGGAGGCTGTGGGGCTGCCTGTGAACCACTCAATGCCTCCATAGATAAAATTTATAAAGAAAATAGAGTAGCAGATGAGTTTGAGCTCCCTGACATGGCAACACTGTGCCTGACCCAGCTCTGCTCTGCACCAGGCACACGGGCTGCTTTTGCTTTTCACACTCCCCATCACTGCCTGTGTTTTCCTTCCTCAGGTATTCCAGCATTTCTTTCCCAACACTTCATCCCTCAGAGCTCCTTTTGTGGGAGGACAGGGTGGGTGCAAGCCCCCTGACCTTCCCCAGAGGCAATGTTGATATTGGAAACCATGTGGGGCAGTGGTCACCAGTGCTCCTTGGGGTAAGGCGGCTGTGTCTCCCTCTTTTTGGGGAGGCCAAATTGCAGCAAGGGAGGTGCTGGTGAGGCTGGGGCATCACTGAGAATGTGCTTGTGCCAGGGCCTGGACCTGCTGGCAAAGCTGCTGAGGTGCTCCTTTGTTATAAGGAGGAGAACTGGAGCCTCAGGATTAAGCCATGCTTGCTGCAGCTCCCTCCTCGTGTTTCTTCCATCTCCACCCACCAGGAAACCAGGCTGGAGATGGAGTTGGAGAAGGTTGTGGGTGCCTCAAAGGCAGCACAGAGCTTTGAACCTGAGTGATGTGTGTGTGTGTGCACAGCCCAAATCACAGCAGCTGCCGTAATGAAGTTCTGCAGAGCTTAAAAACCAACTCAAACCCGTTTTCCAGTCTCATTTTCCAGTCTCAAGCACCTCTCCCTCCTCCTCAGCAGCACGGATGAGCGCTTTCCCTGGCACAAATGTCAGGCAGGATTTACCGTGATGGAACAACCAAAGCATTTCTATATAACGATATAAAGATAACAACTCAGGCTGGAGGTGTTTTACTGGAGATGTTTGCCTCGGGGAGTGGTTTCAACCTGAGCCAGGCAGAGAATCCCCCAGTGGAGGTGACTTTGCTGGCTGGGGAGGGCTGGCAGAGGCTCATCATTCCCACATGGAGCTCGCTGCCCGCTTCCCCCTTCCCTTCTGGCACCGGCTTATTTTCAGTTTTCTGAAGCAACTGCAGCCCAGTGTGCTAACAGGAGGTGATGACAGCTTGGGAGGTAGGGCCAGTGCTGCTGACAGCTCGTGGCGTTACACCTTTCCTGGGAAAATTGCAGCAATCACCTGGCAGGGTGAGGGGGAAAAAAAAAAAATAAAAGCGTTTGAGCAAAAGCCGTGATGCCCACAGGGATCACAGTCCTGCTGATGTTGGTTCTGCTAGAGCCACCACGTTTGCAGGGATGTGTTTTGAGGAAGAGCTCACAGCTGGGTGTTTCACCACGGGGAGAGTCAGAAGGAGGAATGTCGCTGTGGGATTTCTCCAGCTTGCTGTCGGGGCCGTGCAGCCCCATCCCTGTTGGGACACGTGCCTAAGGGGAGGGAAAACCTGAGGAAAAGGATGGATGTGAGGGGTCAGCCGCTTCCTGCAGCCTTCTCTGATGGTAGCCTTGGTCCTTGCACAGTGTGGAGCATCACGAGACCCTGTGGGAAGGAGAAGTAGCCTGAGCTTGGTCACCAGCATGCAAGAAGGGCTTTGATCTGGAGCAAACCTGCAGCTTACTCCAAATGACCAAGGATTTCTTATTTATGGATATTTTGAGATGATTTTTCAAGTACTTCCATTAGCAACACCGCATTTTCTCTCTGAGGGCTTTATGCAGCGTGCTGAATTAAGATGGTTTTGGAAGGGTTGGGGGAAGAAAAGGCAGCACCTCAAATGGTCAAAAACGGGTCCTTGTGCTCAGTAAATGTGGTTTTGGTGTAAAGTGCATTACAGGTGCTCGCTGGGTGAAGTCAGGATGGCCAGAAACATCTCCCAAAAGCCATCTGTGTTGGATTCCCAGTTTCCCTGAGACCAACAGGACTTGAGGTGCCTGATACCCCTTTTTGTCTGGCACTGGAAGCCAAGGTTGGGGAGAGGCTCGGAGGGGGGAACAAGCTCCGCATTGTGCCACCAAACCTGCTCTTTTCTGACATCAGTAGAGGACTTGAACACCCGGTTTCTCCAGCTCAGCACCTCAGCACGTGCAATAATTCACCCAATAAATAAAACATGAGCAAAGAACCCTGGAAGGGCTGCAGACAGACACTGCATTGATGGTGGTGGCTGATCCACTGCTGCTCCAAAGCCAGCCCGTGGAATGCTGGCTTGGTGATCACCGTCCTGGGGGGGACCCTCCTGAGCCCAGCTGCTGCAAGGTGAGCTGTGGGATTTTGTGGCAGCCAGTGCCTGTGAAAACTTGCTTTCTGAGCTGTCAAACCTGCCTCATAGGGAGCGTCCCTGACCAGCACCCTCTGCACGTGGCCTTGCTCCACCAGCAGCTGCCGCAGCACTGGGACCGTCAGAAGAGGTTTTCCATCCTCTTGCATTCCCTGGAATGACTCAAGGGTTGCAGCATGTGTGGATTGGAGCAGGGAAAAGGAGCCTGTTGACTTGGTTCCCTTGCCACAGTCCCCTAAGATGCAAAATTTCCCTGAAAGTCAAGTAACTTCATGGCCGTTCTCTGAGACGTGTCCGAGCTTGGAAACACTTTTCTTTTGGATGGGAAGAATGTGCTGGGGACCTGTTGAGTTACCCTCCAGTCTGCATTCTCCTTCATTCACCACCACAGGAATCACTCATCTCCTCTGAAGCACTGGAGAGCATCTCCCATCCTCTCAGGATGCTCTGTCCCACCTGTAGCAGCCCAACCTGTCCACACCTGGGTACCAAACCCTGGGAAGTGCCTGATTCAGGAGATGAGCTCGATTAAGAAGGAGGAAAATTAACATTCCCAGAAGTGCCAGAGTTTTGTTTGTAGAAGGGATTTGCACTTCTGAGAGGGCTGTTGACTTTCAGGAGACCTAGGTTTTTCAAGTGCCTAAATCACTGTTAGAAATATGCTTGCAAATTTTGTGAAGTGCTTAGAAAATATTTCTACTATGTCCTTGGGCCTTCTCCAGTGGTAATTATGAGTTGTCCATTAACCACAGTGTGCAGCTCTCTGCCTGAAGCTGTTGCATGCTCAGCACCCAGAAGGCAAAGGCACAGCTGGGATTAAAGAAGAATATGCCCAGGATGACGTGAGGGCTGGGTGCAGTTGCATACTTGGAGAACAAATACCCTTTTTTTCACACGGGCTTGGGGCTTGTGGGTTTTTGAAGGTTTCAGAGACTGAAGGACGTGCAAAATGTAGCTTCCCCCAGCTTGGGCAGTGGCCAGCTCCTCCTGGGGCAGCAGAAACCTCTGCTTAGATAGGGCAGCCTCTGCAGTGACTCCTTTCACTGTGCATGGGGCAGTGCAGCACCCAAAGCCTCTGAGCAATGGTCCGTGGGTCCAACTCAGCACAAGGCCCTTTGATTTGTTAGGAACTGATTGGGGTGTGATGCAGAGCCCCTGCATCTCCCTTAGGGGCTCTGTAAATGGGTGATCTTCCTTCCTTTACAGCCTGGGGTAAGTTATTGTGGTGGAGTTTCTCCCAGCTCACCTGGATTTGAATGAAAAAACCCTCAAGCCAACGTACCTAATTCCCAAGGAATGCCAGTGGGGATGTTTTGGAGCGAGGTTGTGTCTCAGGCTGTGTGTTTGGTCCTGAATTGGGCCAGCCAGAGCAGATCCAGGCAGCAGCCCTGTCACTCTGTCACCAGTGCTCTGCTGGGTACTGAAGTTCTCCTGGCTCCCTCAGCCACCCCGGTGCTCCAGACCCTTCCCTGGCTCCATTCCTTCCTCTGGACACTCTCCAGCCCCTCTTTCTTGTCATGAGGGACCCAAAACTGACCAGTAACAGGTGAACATCTCTAGCTAGTGAGGGGCTGCCTTCCTATCAGGGATTTGTGGAATTCCCATTCAGGCCTATCCCATGGGATGTGTCCAGGCCAAATGTCTGAGACGTGAACACTCCATCACACACTGGCTTGATGAGAGGCTCCACAAGCTGCTGAGATCCTCCTCAGTCTCGCTCTGCTCAGAGCACACACTCTGCCACTGGCATGGCCTCGTTATTTCCCTTGGCACTCAGTAATGAGGGTTTAGTTTGTTATTTTAAAAACCAACCCGGGCTAAAGGCATTCCCTGGCAGGTGAGCACGCTCGTGGCCGGGCTGCTTCTCTGGGATGTTCTGTGTGCTCTGCTCCAGAGGGTTTGGAATGCCTGCATGCTCCTTGTCATTCTCAGGGTTTGAAACTGTTTAGAAGACGTGACAGTACATAAACTAAATAAAGTTTCTGGCCAAGGTAACCGGGCGTGGAGACTCAGGGAACAGCCATGAGCCGTCACAGAGGAGGGTTTAGCAGGACACAAGCTCCAGCGACTTAAAGAAAGTGCTGAAGTTTCTCTTGGCTAATAAGGGGAGTTGTTGGAAATGTTCATTCATTTTTGGTGATCTCTGATCTGCCTCAGACATGGAACTGGGTGATGCATGGGGTGGAGATGGTGATGGGACCGATCCAGAGCAGGCTGGGGGTGGTTTTGATGTTTTTGCCTTTTGCAGGGGTAGCGAGGCCACAGGACCTGCCATGGATGGGGGGTGGAGGGTTGCAGCATCTGTCCATCTCCTGGGGACCTGCTGAGTGCTCCTGCTGCTCTGCTTGTTTTCTGTTGGGCTGCGGGAGCTCAGGTCTGGGATAGGGAAGACTCCCAGCTCATCTGGCGCAACTTCTACTCCAACTTCAGCATTCCACCAGCCATTCCTCAGCTGCCTCTCTGCCTTTGCCTCTGCAGAACCGCCAGACTTTCAACAGCCTCAGCTGCCTTAGCACCACGGCCGAGGACGGCTCCCAGCGGCTGGCGGGTCCCCAGGCGTGGACCGCGGCCCCCGAGGTGATGCCGGGCAGGACCCCCGCCTGCACCCCGGTCCCGGAGCCACCGCGGGCCAGGCCCGATGAGCGCCGGGCCAGCAGGGATGACCTGTCCTGCGAGGAGGAGGAGGAGGGCGCCGGGAAGGAGGAGGACAGGGCGGCCTGGCGGAGCGGCGGGCCGGGCACCGAGAGCCTCTTCCAGCTGGATGGAGAGATAGACATCGAGCAGATAGAAAACAACTGAGGAGGGAGCAGCTCTTCTCCCCCTGGGGGCTGGGGGCTGCCAGCAGAGCCAGGGTGGGCTCCTGGTTGCCAGCGAGTTTGTGGGATCCTGTCATTGCTCCCCTTCTGCCAGCCGGAGGGGATGAAGCAGCTTTGCCAAAATTTCATCAGGTATTTAGAGGAATTCGTGTGCATGCGTGTGTAAACCTTGAAATTCTTTGTAACTACTGTAGCCAGAGATCAGCCAGGCCGAGGGAAGTGCCTGTCCCACAGGGAAACCAGGCACGGGGATCGCCAAAAACTCAGAATCCACGAGTAAACGGCTTTTGCCAGGACACGGGTGGAGCTGATGGAGCTGGCCATGCTCCCGCAGGTCCCACCTGTGCTAGTTCAGAAAGGGGTGCACAAGGAGAAACCACCACTCCTGGGACTGGAGGAAGGGGGGAAAAGCAGAATATTGAGATTTGCAAATGAGCACTGGCTGGTGGCCGCCGGGGTGGCCACGGTTCCTTTTCTCCGGCCACATCCCGTGTGGCCCCAGCACCCTCCTTGCTCCCCACGTCCCTGGCAGTGCCATGAGGAGGAAATCACAAGTGAAGTTTTGCTTAAATTCAATAATGGCAAGAGCTGGATTTTTACTCCTTTATTTTTAGTTTTCCTTTTCCTGATGAGGAATTAAACAGATCCCTGGCCCACGTGGGGCGGCACCCGCAGCAGCGCTTGCTGGGCGCTGAACGGGGATGCTCAAATGCCTTCCTTCCCTTCTTTTTACTTTCCCAGTCCCCCTCTCTCAACTCTTTTGGGGGAAAAAACCCTACTCAGGCTCTGTGCCACCCTCACTTGGGTTCCCAACACCCTGTTTGGAGCAGGGCTGGGCTGTTTACCCATTTACCAGCAGCTGTGCCCACTTTGCTACCCAGGGCACGGCTGCCACCCTCTTTTTTTGGCTTTACTGTGAAGGGCTGCCTGCCCAAGGCACGTCGTGGAGGGGTTACTTGACAAAGTCAGCTGGCAAAAGGCTGAAAATCCAGGTAGCAGCACTGAAAGCTTTTCCTCTTCCTGTGCCTTTTTAAAGCACAGATAAAGTGGTGACCATTATGTTTGTACGACATGAATCCTCTTTGCTAAAAATAAGCTGTCCACTTGCTAACAGGTTTAGAAGGACACATATTTCTTTTTTCTCCCACTGTTTTTATTTTTATTATTTTGTTTAAAGCTCTAGGAAACTGTACAAATGGCTTCCAGCATCTTCTGGATTCCTTCTGCTGGTTCCTTCAAGCTCAGGGGTCACTTCCTGAGCTTTGCAAATGTGAGAAAGGAAAAAAAAAACTCCATGATACCAAGAGCAGCTGAAGACAGGACATTTTTAATGGGGTTCAGCAGCACCACTGGCAATGCCTTGAGGGTCCATACCTCGGAAAGGCTGAGAGCTGCTGGTACAGGTTTCATTCATCATTTCTGGTTATATTAGTGCACTTTTTTCTGCAGTGGTTTGGGACGTGTGTGGCACCTCCCACCACAGTGGAACCCATTTGTTGTTACCCCTGTCCTGACACTGCTGAGGTTTTGCTGATGGCTGTGGCCATGTCCACTCCCTCCAGGCAAGCAGGACAAGCCCCAAATATTCAGGGAAGGGATGACAGGGATGTCTTTTCATTTTGGGGAACCCTCCAGCTCTTTTAAAGTGTCACTTTATGCATCACTTATAAAAAAATACATCCTGGGTTAATTTTTATCCCTCCCGTTGTGGAGGGTCCAGCCACGCCAGTGTTTTCCCAGGCTGCTGCCCCTCTGTCTGTGCCCCTGCGGTGGCACCCTCACAGCAAAGTTCCTGGCTTTGAGTCTTCCTGATGCTCCATCCATCCCTCCCCACCACTGACACGTCCTGGTCTCGGGGCACACAGCTCCTGCTGGCCACAGGCCCCTCCTCAGCTGAGCAACAAAGGGCAAATTCCCCCAAATCCACGTCTGGCTCCGGGTGGGCTCTCACGGGGGCATCCCCAGGGCTGGAATTCCTAAGGGCTTCTGTTTCTTTCCAAGGGCTGCTCCTGGTGCCATGCTGACCCCCCAGAGCGGGAAGGTGGCCAGCAGGCCACGGCCCGGCTGTCCTGGACGTAGCCGTAGCATTCAGTTTACATTCAGCACAACCCGTTTGCCTTACTAAAAATGCTTCTCCAATGAGTCATGGCCTTATACTGGGCACGTTGGCGTAGGCACAGACTACAGTTAGCGACAGTTTTGAGGCCACAGTGGTGTTCTGTTGGGTATTTCTCATTGGGTTTGTATGATTTCATGTACTTATTCTCAGTTTAAGAAAGCCTTACTTTAAAATTTTTTTTTCTCTCTCTCTCTCTCTGTAGAGGTAAAACATTTGTGGATTTATATATATATAAATATATATATAAATAATTAAAAATAATAAATATAATATAGTATGTGCCTCAGATTCAGGGGACATCCTGTTGATTGTAAAGTCAGAAGTGGCGTTGCTCCCCTGGTGTCAGGAGATCTGTCCCCTACGCAGTGGAAGAGCAGGGCATCCCTTGAGGGTCTTGCTCTTGGTTTGTAAAGGACTTCACCTATTACACAGATGCTTTGGGAGCCCCCAAATCCCCCGGCAAACCCCTGCCGGCTGCCAGAATGTGATACTAAAGTCATATGCAGACAAGGGATGTTATTCCTTGCTAGGTAGCTAAAATAGGTTCATTATTATGAAGGGACTCAGTGGCTTGTCCAAGGTGTGACCCAGTCTGGGCAGCAGCTGTTTTGGGAGGACACCAAAGCTGTGGCAGCAGCAAAAAAAAAAGGTTCTTCATCCTGAAAAAAATAGGATTTTAACACAGAAAGTCTTAGCAGGCACACGGGAGTTTGCTGTGTGTTTTGCAGATGTAGCTCTTTGAGCCTGTCCTATGAAAGAGTACATTAAAAAAAAAAAAAAAAGAAACCAACGAAAAGAAGCATTTGTAAAATAGATTGTAATTTTTCCACGTGCTAGCATAGCCTGTTTGGCCAATAAAATTGTGTTTCAAGTGCATTGTTCGAAGCTCCTGGCTGCCCAGGCGAACAGACTGACGTAGGATGTTCTAGGATTGTAGCGGTGCTTTGCAGCGTGTGTGAGTTCGGTGTTCAAGAAAGAAAAAGAAGAGGATGGCCAAATGAAAAACAAAACAAAACCAAGCAGAAAGATGGGAAGAAGAATAAAAACAAAGCCTTCTGAAGCTATGACCTGTAGTAGCCAAGTCTCGCTGGCAATTGCACAAGCGCCGCGGGCCGTGCGTGTCCCGGGAGGGGCTGCCCCAGGTGTCCCCTCCACGGGCGGGCGAGGAGGCTGCTCCTGCCCCCCTCCATGACTTGATTGCACTAGAGCAGCTCAATCTCAGGAAATTGCTTGTTACTTTTACTGTGTAAATAAAGCTTCCTGGTTCAATAAGCCGCGTCCCTCCGCTCTGTGCCGTCCCCGCGGCCGGGCGCGGCTCTGGGGTCCGGGGGCGTTGGGGACATGGCTGACCCTTGGGGTTGTGGCACTGGTTGGGGTTTGATGGGGTTGGAGTTTGATGGAGACCCTTCCTCTCCTCTCCTGGCTGTACCTCCTTGGCATCTCTATAGGTGCTGGGAAGGGATGTCCCAAAAAATGGGTGGGGGTTAGGTAAGCCTTCACACAGGACCCTCCCTAGGGGTGTCTGTGTAGGAAGGGTGTCCCAGCCATGGGTTGCACAAGAAAATGGACATTTTATAATATTCACGCAAACACAGAGATGCTGCAACCCTCCCCATGGTGGGGGGACATCTCCCCATGCCTCCTCCACCCCCTGCCTGTCATTTGGCTTTAACACAGCCAAAGACATAAACAACAAAATGCAAATTGAAGTGCCAAGTAGCACCTCCTTCTTTGTGTTTAAGGACAAACATAATATCCTGCCTCTTAAAATTTAAATTCAAATCTAAACTCAGAGCCCACAGCAGGCCAAGGGCACATAGGGGTGTTAAATAAATTCTTGGGGAAACAGGGCAGTATCTCCCTGCAGCCTTTGCAACCCAAAAAGGAAAACGGCTGCACTTCCTCCAGCAGGCAATGTAAAAGGTTTCATGACAGATGGCAGGATGTTTATCTGCCTAAACTTAATCAGATTGAAGTGATAGGCTTAGTATAATAGAACAAAAAAAAGGGAAGAATTAGGGGTTAAAAAGAAATTCTCAGTAATCCATCACAGCCTGAACGTTTGACCAGGGTTTACAGCATCCTTCCATGTGTGTGGATGCTGACAGTACCATACACTTTGGCTGAACCACTACCCAGAGGATAGAAGATGCAAAAACAGACCCAAAAAATTGCACTAAGGTCATTTTCCCAGATGTAGTTTATTTTGTTAGAACTTAATTCCCAGCCCCCTTTCCCCTGCTGTCCCCAAGGGGTGCTATGCAGCTCCAAGGCCAGCTGGTAGCTCTGAAAAACAAGTGTTCCAAAACTCCAGAAACACAGAGCATCATTTTGGTGTCCTTCAGTCACTGGGGTCATCTTCAGCTGTTGGGACTGCTGGAAACAGAGCTGGAATTATCCTTGACCTGCTTGCAGGCTGAATGCAGTGGCCAGCAAATGCTACCTGAGAGTATGGATATATATATTAAATATATGTAACACAAACATAATTACATGATTTCCATGGTCCCCTGGAGATCTGAAGCAGGTTAAAGCCTAAAGTCTTGCCCAAAGCCCAAGGGGGTAAAGAGCTGCTGATATGTTGATTAAAAGGGGACTTTAGCCTCTAAAAGGTGACCTTTGCAAACACTACCATGTGTCAGTGAGGGTGGGAAGAGGACTTGCAGGAACAACCCCTAATCTTTTCATTTTTTGACCCATTTTGAGCCCCTTCCATGCTCTTGCCAGGTGCAGCATGGCCAGGTGTTACCACACGTGCTGCAACAGCTGCACTGCAAAACTGACAGAGAAACTAAAATCCCTGGGGAAGGGCTGCAGTGCCTGGAGGCAGGGAGCAGCTCCTTTCAGAAATCCTTATTCTGATTAGCAGGAAAAAGGCAAATCTCATGCCTCTCCTGGCCCTGGATGTGCTGAGCACTCCTGGCAGCAGGAGGGGGCTCAGTGGGAGCTGAAACTGGTGCAGCAGATTCTCAGAGGGCACATGGGGATGTTCAGTGAGCACAGAATCCTGGAATCCCACAATGGTTTGGGCTGAAGGGACCTTAAAGCTCGTCCTACTCCATCCCTGCCATGGGCAGGGACACCTTCCACTATCCCAGGCTGCTCCCAGCCCCATCCTACCTGGCCTTGGGCACTTCCAGGAATGAAGCAGCCACAGCTTCTCTGGGCAAACTGTGCCAGGGTCTCCCCACCCTCACAAGGAGCAATTTCTTCCCAAAATCCAATCTAAACCTGTCCTTTTGAAGCTATTCCCCCTTGTTCTATCACTACATGCCCTTGTGAAAAGTCCATTTTCAGCTGGAGCTGTGTCTGACTCAGCCCCTACAGCTCAGGGACTGCACATCCAGGATTTTAATCAGGAAACCCACACCCCCTCCCACACAGGCTGCTCATAAGACCCCCTCGCAGAGAGAAGGCAAAGACCATCAGTCCCATGGCCTTTTCCAGCTTTTCCAGTTAGGGAAAAGCATTTCAGGTCCTGTAAACAGCCCTGCCAGTGCTGATCCAACTGAACACGATGACAAAACAGGCCAGATCCAAGGGATAGGTTTTATTCCAGACAGGATGGTGCAGTTATTCCCTAATGTGTTACTGATTGCTGTGCCCTCTCCTGGGGCTGCTCCAGATGGGCTGATCCTGGCAGAACCACAGCTCCTGCCTTGCCAAGGCATGTGGGGCTGTCCCCCTCCCCAGGGCTTTGTGCAGTCACAGGAGCTTGGTGGCCTCCATCAGCCCCCAAGGACATGCCCCATCCCACCCAGGCACCCCAAAAGGCACAGGACATGGGGGTTAAACAGGTAAATCCATTCATGATGGGGTGCCTGGGTTCCCTGATTCCCACCTCAGGCTGGGTCCCCAGTGTGAGCAAAGATAAAAAGGGGGAACAGCCCCCCAGCATCTCCCAGAGGAGGCTGAGGCCCCTCACAGGCACCAAGGACAGGACATCCAAGGCTCTCCAGAGGACAGCAGCTTTGGTGCTCCCTTGGATGAGAGGTCAGTAGAACATTTTAGTACCATCAGGTGAAATATTTCGGAAGGCAGGTGCCCACCACCCTGCACAAGGCTGGGCTGGGTTCACTCAGGTGAGATGGAGGTGGGAGAGGATGAAGTGGTTCCACGGAGGGGCTGCAGGTGAGGGCTCATCCCTGCTCCTGCTGGGATTTACAGCTCCTGGAGGATGATGTCCACAGCCTCAGCCAGGTTGTTCACGTAGGCATCAGGCTTCACCTCAGGGTGGTTTTCATCGGATGGCCTGGAAGGAGACAGAGGGGCAGAGCTGAGCAGGGGCAGGATCCCAAACAGGCCCCATGTCCCTGGTCATGCTGCTGCTCACAGAGCCCAGGCAGTGCCAATGGAGCACCCCTGAGGTTCACAGAATATTCACAGGATGACCAGATTGGAAGAGACCCTCAAGATCATTGAGTCCAACCCAACCCAACACCTCAACTCAACCCTGGCACCCAGTCCCACATCCAGGCTTTGTTAAACACACCCAGGGATGGTGACTCCACCACCTCCCTGGGCAGCCATTCCACAACTTTATCACTCTTTCTGTAAAAAACTTTTTCTTAATATCCAACCTGTATTTCCCTTGGTGCAGCTGAGGCTGTGTGCTCTGGTTCTGTCAGTTCCTGGAGAAAGAGCCCAACCCCAGCTGGGCACAGGCACCTTCCAGGAGCTGTGCAGAGTGACAAGGTCACCTCTAAGTCTCCTTTTCTCCAGGCTGAGCACCCCCAGCTCCCTCAGGGGTTCCTCACAGGGTTTGTGTTCCCAGCCCCTCTCCAGCCTCGTTGTCCCCTCTGGATGTTCTCAAGGTCCTTCCCAAGCTGAGGGGCAGAGCTGGACCCAGCACTCGAGGTGGAACCTCACCAGTGCCAGGTACAGGGGCAGAACGAGCTCCCTGCTCCTGCTGGCCACACCATTCCTGACTCACATTCCTCCCTCTTCCCTTGTTTTTCCTCTTTCTTTCTCTCACACCCAGGTCTTTCCCACATGCCCAGGTGGATCCTATGTCCTTTGTGCAAATGAGCTTGGCAAAACTTTGCACAGCCTCAACTGGAAGAGAATTTCCAATTAGTTAATTAATCCAAGTCAATGCACTGCATTTTACATGGCACTGCTTCACCCAGGCAATAGCAGCACTTGACAGGGATGGCTGCAAGGACACCTCACTGCAAGCCTGGCACCCTACAGAATTACAAATAATTATTCTCCCATAGTTTTTATCTAGAAATAGGTAGGGAAAAGAACTATTCCCTTTCAACCTAGAGACACAGAAAGTCTTCACACTGCTTCAGTGAAGAGCAAGGTTCTGCCAGGGTTTAATTTTACAGCACCACCATCTCTTGCAAACCCACCAGTGGTGGTTTGAAACACCACCAAAATAAGGTTCAGTCTCACCCTCCTCCAAGTCACCACCCCAAGGCAGGGTGACTTGAAGCCATTTTTTGCCAATACTTAATTAGCAGCGCTGGCCTAACGAGGCCCAGCTGCACAATCCCATTTTGCTGATTTAGCAGCACGGCTGGTGGGCAGGGGGGCAGATGTGGGAGGCAGAAATTTCCCAAACCTCATGGTCCTGTTATGGCTCTTGGGCTGAGAAACCCACCAGCTGCTGGAGGGAAAACATATGTATTTTATATGCTTAATGACCTTCCTTTGGGAGAGAGATGAGAGCCCAAATGTCCACCTCCCACCTCTCCTGCTCCCTGGAAAGGGCAGACCTTTATTTAGCACAGCTTCTCCGTGGGGAAGATGCATTTCCCAGCGGATGCAGGGGAGGCAGAGAGATGATTATTATTATTATTAATGATGTGCAGGATTTGGTGAGCACTTGTCTGTACAAGCACCAAATCATTTCTTCTGTCCCAGCACTGAAGCTCCCCAGGGCTGTTTCCTTCCTGCTCTTTTCTCAGCCGTGCTCCTCATGTCCAAGCCCACGAGCTCCTCACAAAGGCACAGCCTCTTTTGGAAGCCCACACTGTGTGCTTGAGGCTCTGCTTGCTGCAAAATCATGCTATGAACTAGGAAAAATAAAATATTTGTGTATTTGCAGCTGATATTCATCATTCCTTGTTTCACCTGCAAAGCCATGCCCAGCACCAGGCTCCATGAAACAAACTCTGCATGTTATTAAAGGGTGGATGGGTCTTTAGATATCCCAATTCCATCTTGTTACAGGGAGCAATGAGAATAATAATGATGATTTTTTTTAGGTTTTTCTCAACTGAAAAAGAGTTTGCTGATGGAGAAAAACCTCCACACATAAATCA